GACAAACTACACAAAACTGTCACCATTCAGTTCCTGTGTCATGACCATCAAATGATACTGAAGGTTACAAAAATTGCTTATTTCAATATATTCACTTGACTATACACATTGATAGTTGCAGTATTGTAAGCTGCTGTCTTGTGAAAGTTACCAAATATTCCAATTCTAATTCTTTGCAAAATAAATTTTCTAGAAGTGTAAGCTAGAATTGATATATAATTGTTTTGCCCTAATGGATATCTAAGGTTATTGATTGTTGCCTAGACCCTCACAGAATAGCTACATGAAATTTTGTTTCCTGATTACCTCATTTATAGTTAGAAGATACAGGGAATAGAGAAGCAATATGCTTAGCAGTAATCAACCGGTACCACCTTGTTTTGTAGGTAAACTGTGAACATGTCATCATGCAATCTTTCAGGAATTTCCTAATAACAAATCTTCTCATTTATATATAGAAGCACATGCATATATTTATTTCCTCAACACATAATGTGCATGATTATCATCAAAGAGATAAGTCTGTCGTATGCTTATGAATTTCTCCTGAAGTACTGAAGAGGAGATTCTTTTTGCCATTCTGAATTCAGATAGAGAGATTGTTTCATGCAACATGCTTTCTAATTTATGGCTGTTGCTCATGGAGAGCCTGGGAAAGAAAATTTGTTTGATTGGTCAAAGCACAGAAAGTAACTATTTCCACGAAAACAACAACTTGGAGGTATATCTGCAGAAATATGTTGGTTGAATGATCACATTTATATTCTGACATCATTCAATATAATCTCGACTAGGGATTACTATTCAATTGTCAAGGAGCAGGTTTATTCTTGTTCTTTATTTACCTCAACAATTAATCAGTTCATTGAAAGGGGACTTTTTGACACAAGTAAAAATCTTTAGACCTTGGCACAAACGATTGTAATAGCTGAAGCTGAAAGTGTTAAAATTTTAATCATCCATACCATACCCCAAGTAAATTAAACCTTACGATATATAACTTCTCATTATTGAAGTAAGGACACATAATTTGTCTTTCTTGATGATCATCCTGAATTATGTGCAGGCAAATACGTACAGAAGAGCAGCACACGGATTCACGGAACTTCTTGTTGGGAACTGTCGCATGACATGAACCATCTGGATGGATGCAGCAAAATCAGTTCTAGTTAAGCCATGAACATCTCCCGATTAATATGATGCCTACTTCCTTGCAACAAAATTCATTTGAAATCGACTTGCAGATGGAGATATTAGCACTTTACATCTTTCATTTTCTCTTTCAAGTTAATTTTTTTTTTTTTTTTTTAAAAACGATGAAATATAAGAAACTAATGAGAAAATCGATTCACGTTGCCTGGTGTGGTGTATATTATTAACAGCTGATTGATTTCTAGTCAACATTGAATTTCTTAAATTTTGATGCTGTGAATAACAACAATTAATAAGGAAAAAATCTGCGATACACCTAGTGTTTTCCAATGGGGTTATTACCAGACCAGGATAATGTCAATCCACTTCCCAAACAAAGCCTTGCAACTGCATAGTCATCCCACCAAAATTCAAAATTACCGCTCCGCTTGGTTAGCTTTTAAAAATAGCATTTTTAGAAAAATATTATAGGATTCTGGTAATATTTTTTTCAAATATTTAGATTAGTTTAATCTTAAGATTTGTTTATTTAACTAAACACTCTCACAATAAAAATTTATAAATTGACAAAAACACTCCTATTCATCTATATATTGTTGACAGTTGGCCATCATTATCGGAAGGTGGTCAGAATCTGTCATAATAGTGTACGAACCAATGGCGTCAATCTAGCTTTTTTGGCTAGATCTCTTGTGGATCTGGTCAGAAACGATTAGATCTACAGTCACAAATCTAACGGACAAACGATCACTAAGATATTTGATCGTCCAAAACTAGCTATCAACGATCAGATCTACGAAAATGGACAAATCAACATACGATCGGTCAGATTTAGTCGATCATATATTGTTACGATTTCGACGATTGATAGTGGTTGAGTGGAGTGTTTTTGTCTATTTTAAAATTTTTATTAAAAAAAAAATTATTAATAGGTGAGTTGATTAGAATAGAATTAAATTTTGAAGAATATTAAAACTAATGAGTTTTTGTTAGGAGTTAGGACGGAGGAGTAGAATAACTATCACCCTTTTCTCACACGTGTCAGTAGGGTGAAAAATTAAAAATTACAACTCCTCTACAAATATCCAGTTTGTCGAGTGATTAGACGGCCACGCCTGCGGCCCACAATTCTTCTTCAATCTCGGCGCCCGGCCGGCGAGTCCAGCACCGTTGGAGAGGTAAATGAAGTCTCACATACATCTATTCTCCACAACTCCCCACAATTTTCTCCAATAATCATGGCTATATGCCTTTCATACTGTCCTGACCCTGTTCCCCATAAAACCTCAATAAGCTTTAGCTCTAGATTGAGGTTCAATTCTCAGGAAGCTCTGTTTTTACTTCGAAAATGCACAACTTTTAATCAATTGAAGCTAATTCATGCCAGAATTATCCGCCACGGCCTCACTGATGACCAGTTACTTGTTCGAAAATTACTTGATATTTGCTATTCTTATGGTAAAATGGATTATGCCCTTTTGGTTTTTCATCAAATTCAGCGCCCTCATGCCTTTACTTGGAATCTTATGATTAGGGCACTTACTAACAGTGGCAGGTCCCGGAAAGCTATGGATTTGTTTAACCTTATGATGTGCAAAGGTTGTGCACCTGACAAGTTCACCTTCCCGTTTGTTATTAAAGCTTGCTTGGCCGCTTTTGATGTTGAGAAGGGTAAAGAGGTCCATGGTTTGGCTGTTAAAACAGGATTTTTCCGAGATATGTTTGTGCAGAATACTTTGATGGATCTTTATTTCAAGTGTGAGGATGTAGATAGTGGAAGTAAGGTGTTTGAGAAAATGCGTGTTCGTAGTGTTGTTTCGTGGACAACTATGATTACTGGCCTTGCTGCTTGTGGGGATTTGGATTCTGCCCGAGCTGTTTTTGAGCAAATGGAATCAAGAAATGTTGTTTCGTGGACGGCTATGATTAATGCGTATGTTAGGAATCAACAACCTCAAGAGGCTTTTGAATTGTTCTGGAGAATGCAGCTTGATAATGTCAGGCCAAATGAGTTTACACTTGTTAGCTTGTTACAAGCATGTACGGACCTGGGAAGTCTAAAATTGGGTAGTTGGATTCATGACTTTGCTTTAAAGAATGGGTTCGAACTTGGAGTTTTCCTTGGGACTGCTCTTATTGACATGTATAGCAAATGTGGTAGTTTGGAGGATGCTAGGAAAGTGTTTGACAAGATGCAAATTAAGAACTTAGCCACTTGGAATTCTATGATTACTAGCTTGGGTGTGCATGGGCATGGCGAGGAAGCCCTTGCTCTTTTTGCGCAGATGGAGAACACAAATGTTCAACCGGATGCAATCACTTTTGTAGGTGTTTTATGTGCTTGTGTACATACAAATAATGTAGATGAGGGTTGTCATTACTTCTGGTATATGATAGAAAATTATGGTATCATGCCTATTTTAGAACATTATACTTGCATGATTGAACTATATAATCATGCAAAAATGAAGGATGAGATCTACGAACTTCTGAATTCTATGCCCGATAAACTGGATGAGAATACAGTGGCAGCCTTGCTGAGACTGAACACCATGCCAGAGAATCTGAATGAGAATACAGAGGCAGCGTTGCAAAGGCTGAATGCCCTTCCAGAGAAGCTGAATGAGAATACCAAAGCAGTATTGCGAAGGCTGAATGCCATGCTCAAGCTGAACGAGAGTACAGCAGCAGCATGGGTTACGCCAAGTGTTGACAAGAGAGTGACTGATATGGAGAAAAATTCTCTCCAGTTTACAAATGAATCCAACTGCTTGGGAGTGTTTATATGCTATGTCCCGCAATATCAGCTCCAATGCTTCAAGTGGGATGTGGGTTAACTTTACTGGATGATTTTCTTACTGTTTAATTACGTTTCAAATTGTACACATTGTAATCACTGAGAGAGGAGCCTTGTATCAAAGTAGAGCCTCCAATCATACAAAATCCTGTTCTTATAAGCTTTTTTCCAATAAAATAAGTCAAAGACGATTTGTAGATTGGAATGATTCCCTTAGTTTTAATCCTTCGTTATTATGTTGGAGGGAAAGGAGGTGGTTCTACAGTTAAAAGGCTCAATCCTTTTATGGTCTCTGGTAATATTATTTTTGTTTATCTCGATTCTTATTACCAATTCTTCTACACTTATGGAATGACAGAAACCAGAGCAAATGCTCTGGCCTTATTTGTTGTATAGTTACTTTCATATTCTTTTGACTTGTAATCCCAATGATCCTTCAACGCTACACAGTAATTAAAATTCACTGAAAACTTGAGAGATTTATATACTATACTGATGAATCTATGATTTCAGAGCTTCAAAAGTGATGCCTCAGTTGTCAGTTTCTCTAAAATGGACTAGTAATTTTGCTTTTATTTTCTCGTTTAATGCAATTGGTATGTCTACGCTTTAGAAGATAATCAAAATGAGTCTCATTTGGTTTGCGTTATATTTTCATATTTTCTAGTATTTTTTTAATTTCTTAAATTCTATTGCATGTGTCCACCGAACATCCTTCGGCTGTAAGGTTGAGGTTGAAAAACGAGATTTTATAATGACAAAGGCATGAGATTAGAAAAACTCACATGCCAATTCTTGGTATAAAATAATGCTGTTGAAGTAGTCAATGTGAGCATCCTTTTTTGTATGGATATTATAGGTGGAAATGCCAATGAAAGGATGTCATTGCAATTATCGAAGCTGTGCTTCTGTCTTCAGGCTCATACTGTCAATTGCCCTGGTGATGAGTCACTATGTTGCTTGATTGGCTAATAGTGTTGTCATCTTTATCCTTCTTTAAGAAGGCTGTTTATATTCTATTACAAAATCAAGGAGTAGTTTTGTATTGCCAGAAACCATGGAAAGATGGTCTAAACCCAACTGGGTTGGCACCAGAAATTATAGTGAGAATCTTCTGTGCCATTACTTGTTCAGTGATGGCTCCGCTCAATATGTTTTCCTGGATTTGGTTGATGAAGGGTCTGCCGTTGTGAACCGATCCCTGAGTTTTTGTACTACAAGAAATCTACACGTTTGTGCTTCTGCCAATGGTTTGCTTCTGCTGTCAAGTGTTCAGGATAACCAGGTGAGCTATAATCTATTCAATCTATTTTCTAAGAGAAGGGAGGTTCTTCCACGACCCCAGATAACTAGACGTAGTATTAGAACAGGTTTGGCTTTTGATGGATTTCGCTATCAAGTTGTACGAGTATTCAGCGTTGACGTTGAAGAAGAATGTGCCCCAGAGTCGTCGTCAGCCGCAGTTCCTCCAACTGGAAGTGATGGTTTTCTAGAAATGGAGATCTTCTCATCTGAAACTAACATATGGAGACGATACAGGCCTTTAATTCGTCTGCCACCTGATCTTCCCAAGCTCGACATGTCCCCTCTCTTTGCAAACGGAGCTATTTATTGGGAACTGGGTGGATACTTACTGGTTTATCATGTCAATCATGGGCTCTGTAGGGTGATTGAGCTGCCAAACTATCCCCAAAGATGGTCTTGGAATTCTCTGACTTTTGGGCAATGTTTGTTTGAGTCTGAAGGACGTCTGCACTACTGCTACTCTGATTCTGAAGGAATCCACATTTGGATTCTCATCAAGGAACAAGATCATGACTTCTATTCTAACTATGTGTGGAATTTAGTTCATACTGCTAGACACCAGAACTTGATTTCACAAAATTCTGATGTCTTTCTTCGTATTAGACAGAGAAACAATCTTTTGTCACACTGGGAGCCCTACTTCATATCTCCATTCGCTTACATTGGAAACTCTCAAACAATGTACCTGCGTCTCCCTGGTAGTATTGTCACTTACGATTTGAGGACCCAATCTTTGAGGGAAATCTGCACTTATGAATTTCCAAACATGAACTTCTATTGCTGCTTGCTCTTCCCTGTTGTTTACGGTTTGCAGGGTGATTCTCGAGACAGACAACCACAAGAGGGAATCAGAGAGGTGATTCCATTGCCGATGCAGATGAACTAGAAAAGCAAACATCCAAATGATCTGTTGTCATGTATTTGTTTTCAAATCCCGAACTACTCCAATATTATTTGAAACCAATACATTGCATTTTATTGGACTATGATTTCTTATTTATCTTTTAGTTAGCTTGTCAAGAGTGCAGATATCATATATGTCATATGATGTATTATTTTGAGGATTCTCCAAACAGCCATCACAAGTATCCATAACCTATTTATAACTATAATGCCTGATTTGATGTTTATTAAAAACTGTTCCAAGTCCCGAAATTCGGTTAGCTCGTAGCAGAAATATTTTCTTCTAGTGTTCACCATCATTCGTTTTGAAGCCTCTTTTGTGTATGTCCTCTTTAAATCCAGAAGATTAAATGAAAAGTTACCATAGAGAATTCATAACAAATGGAAGCTATGTTATCAAGGAACAATGAATTCTATTTAAATTTCCTACATAAATAAAAGTATATATATATTGTTGATGCTTGATTTTGACACCAACGACCTCGTACATGCAAAATGCTAAGCGGGTCTTAGAAGTTACACGTGATTAATTTGAGAGTTATATAAGGTTACAATAACATGCAAAGACTTAATAATAAATGACAGTGAGAATTTTATAGTGGTTTGGATGTTTAAAGGGATTCCTACATCCATTGTTTTCCTTTATATACGTGTTCTTGGTTATTAGACAAGTTACAAGAGGTCGCGAATAGTGAACAGAATGACAAGTGCTTGGTATTTAGAGAGAATAATAAGCCAGTCTCTTTCCCGTAGGTTGTCTTTGTTATTTGTTTTTATGAAAATCAGAGATCCCGATTTTGTGAGGGGGAGTCCTCTATTTATAACTGTTGAGTTCAAAGTAATGATTACAAGTTTGCAAATGGGTAGGTATCGTGCAAGTCCTTCCTTGCGTCTCATTGGCTTATAACTTAGGAAATATCCTTAAATTATATGGGTAGGTGTCGTGCAAGTCCTTCTGAAGTACTGTCTTGATTTGACTTGCGAACTGAGCATAAGTCATGAGCTATCTTGAGAGTAACACAAGTGACCTAACATGATCGTTTACTGAGATCTACCGACCTGAGCTTGATCTTGTTTTGAGTCATCGGGATGTGTTTTGAACTCTAACTGTCATTCACAACCTGAAAAACACTTAGAATATTTTGCTGTTGAAAATTATGAATCATCTTGTTTGGTGTTCAAGTTCAACATGTTCAATAAACGTCTTTTTTGAACAACCTCTTCAGATGTTATTTATTGCACTTGACAACTGGCTCAGTTAATAAAGTAAACTTTATCTGATAGACATGTCTCTACACGCAATAAGTGTCAGTCATGAGTATTAAATGCAAGCCATACTGAAATGACATTCCCTTTTGGTACATTAAATGCAGATGAAGGCACATTTAATGTCGAGGAGATAATTACGCCGGCGATTGACATTTTCAATCAAGAGAAGTGCCAGATGATTTTTACGAAGCGTGGGGGTTACACTTCGTGTAGATTGATGACATGTGATCGCAATCTACGATTGAGAGCATGTTCCAACCCAAACATTGCTTATAAAGGAAGTTGTAGCGTTGTCTTCCACCCTATAAAACCCTAACTTTGCCCTAAGTTTGCAGAAAACTCGAATTCTTCATAGAGAAAACATCGTTTTCCAACTCCAAAATTTTTTTTATTCTTCCACCAGTTCATGCGAACCCAATGCTACAATAGAACGCCTATTCCAAGCAACCAGGAGGTAAAAAAATTTCTTCCTTATTCTCTTTTTTTCATTCTGCAAAAAACTTCGTTTTTACAGTCATGGTGGTCATGAGTGTCTAGTAGACTTAGATAAGGAGTATTTCTGGGTCGTGTTCGAAAAAGACACTTGAAAGCTCAAAACCTAGGGTAAATAGTCCTAGAGGATCGTTTTAAGAGATTTTAGGGTTTTCCAAAGCTTGATGGTTATGGCAGAAAAACCAGGGTTTTTTTACTGCTCTGAGTCATCATATGAGGTAAATTTTTCAGGGTTTGAGTCTCCCCTAAACATCGTACTTTTACAGACTCTAAGAGCAATGGAGATCCCTGAGATGAGAACAACTGGCGAGGAGAGTTTGCGTCCACCGGGCGCCTCGACAGGTCCCGGGAAGGTGATACGATCCACTGTCACAATGAACGAAATCAAAGATGCACTAAAGCAATATGCGATCGACGTGGACGTGAACCAAAAGAGGTCGTACATTGCCCAGGAGCCTCCCGAGGGAATGGCTGCGATCTCAAAAGCCATCTTCAAATGCGGAGTGAGAATACCTCTCCACCCCTACATCAGGTGCATACTCGACCACTTCCAGGTCGCACCATTCTAGCTGACGCCAAACGCATATATGATAGTTGTTGCTATGTATATATCGTTCGACGTGAACGAATTCGGGGAGCCAATGGCATTGGAGCTCGCTTGCGCCTATATCTTGAAGAAGAATAAAGATAAGGACTCGTACTACCTCTCCAAACGATCAACGATTGAGGGAGGAATATTTGGTTACCCCAGCAACGTAGGGGCTTACGAGACCAAATATTTTTTCTTTAAGTACGACGGTGTTTGTAAATTTCAGGAACCAAGTAGGTTTTTTCCTTCAATTTTCAGGTTGTTCGTCCTTTGAGGTTAATTCTGTATTAGATAATAAGCTAACAGACTCTTTGCTTTGTAGAAAACAAAACAACTAAATTGTAGTTGTTGATTGATCGCAGCCGCATCCAAGCATTTAGTCAACTTCCTGAACAAGGTCATGATGCAAAGTTGCTCGTGACGACCGAGAATCTTTGGAAGTACGGATTCTTCCCCCCCGAAGCATACTTAGACGATTCAACTCATAAGTTTTTCTTAAACATAAAAAACTCAAGTCTTTTACAAAGTTAGACTTTTTTTGCTAACATGTCATATGCCATGCAATCGAAGAAATCAAAGACATCAAAGAAGTATGGGGGAATCACTTTCCCAAGGCTGACTCTAGATGCACCAGCTGGACTGACCTCCAGCAATGTCCCTGTAACAGGGACTCAAGCTAATGCCGAAAGGCAACCAACTGCGGAGTGACATGAAGAAGTTCCCCAGCCTATCGCTGCTTGCCCAATGAAGAAGAAAACCGTGGCTTCGAGGAAAAAGAAGATACTAACAGCTGAAGCATCTGATTCTGAGTCAGATGACTTTGGCATATTGTCGGGTGGGTTGCAACCTACCCAACTTCCTACCTCGAAGGTCGCCTCAAAGGGTGCCCTAGGGACTTCACAATCGAAGGAAGGTGCGACCACTAAGGAGAGGCTAGCTAAGAATAAACTTAAGAGGTTCCTGCCACAAAAGGTTATGATCAATCTGTGTTGGACCTTTTGGGGTAGATTCCAGACCATCTAAGGCTGGTTATCTTCACCCTCCAAGAGTGCCAACTGGCATCAACCTTCGAGAGGTACTTAACCTCCCGACATTTTGACCTGGTGGCCACTACGCTTCAAACGCAAAGCCAGGTAAAACAAACATTTCTCTTTGTAAACTCTTTTACACTAGTCGAGTTCTCTAGTTTTTATTATAAAAACTAACTCTTTATCCCTTTCTTTTACAGTCTTTGCTCGCCTTGAACGTCGCCCACAACAAAATGAAGTAAACCTCTGGAAAACTTCACAAAATGAAGGAGGAGGTTACCAAATTGAGCAAGCCCTTGCAACTTCGTTTGAAGTCGCAAGCGATGCACAGGTTCAAGCGAGCACATTTCTAAAAGAAAGGGATTCTGCTCAGCGAACAGTAGAGTTCCAGAAGCACGAGCTTCAAAAGAAGGACAACCATACCAAAGAGCTCCAGATAACAATAGCGAAGCTCACTAGAGATTTTAATCAAAGAGAGAAGGAGCTACAAGAAAGCTTACATTGCGAGAAGGCGATAGAGAAGACTCAAACTAAGCTGTAGGAGAACACAGAGAATGAGATAAAAGCGAAAGACACAAAGCTCAAGATATCGCATGGACGAATCACTTCGCTGACAGAGCAGATGAAGCAACTAAACAACAATGTGGAAAGGAAAGTTGGTCATTGGGCACTGCAAATTATTCATAGCTTGCGATCGAACAATCCAAACTTGGAAATTTTCAATTTCCGTGAAGAGTATCAGATAACGCTTGCATCAATGCAATCTACTGACAAATAGGAAGATTGAGAATCCGCCCAAAAGGAAGATCAACAAGAAACAAAGAATCCTGAAGATCAAGCGACCGACTCCGAGGTCATAGCAACCGAAGTCAGGGATCCTGAAGTTCAAGGTAAATGATCGACCTCTCTTCCGCTATTCTGGAAGAGTCTTTTTTGTTTCTTCTCGCTTTCTTTTGTAGCTTGCTGGTCGTCCATGTACCTATTTTGAGAATATATAAATAGACTTTTTGACCACTTGTGATAGCACTTTTATAGCTTAAGTACTTCACTAAACAAATATAACCTTTCTGATCGTAAAACTTGTAAAACTTTGTAAATAATAAGATTATTAAAACTTGAGATTACGACAAAAGTAATTCTTCAAGA